GAAAGTAATTTGCAAAGAAAAAACTTTATCAAGGTAACGCAAGGAGAAATCCCAGCTTCTTTCAGTCTCCTTTACATTTGCTTTGAGCCCCGGTTCTAGTCATATGCCAGATCCTGTATTAATGCTGGTATTAAGGACAGCAGTATCTAAAGTAAATTCTTTAATGCTAAACTGACTGAAACTTAAAATACAGTCCCGTGCTTCTGGTCTCCAAAGACAGGCCAGTCCTCAAACAGCGAGGCAGGTTCATAAAACGGTGTCCTGTCATCCAGACTGCCGCAGCCACAGGATGCCTGGTCAATGACAAAGAGTGCAATTAAATTGATATCAAATAATTAAGAGGCAATCAAACACTTAATGGAAGTGGGAGAGATTCTGCCTCTGCATCATAATAATGCTGCAGCCTATTGACTAGAGATGCTTATTTTTGCTATTTTCTCCTCCTTTTTGTGTTTTGTTTGTTTGTTTGGTTGGTTGGTTTTTTATGGACTACGTACACATTTCCTGGGCTCTCATGAACTCACACACATCCTAAATTCCCACAGTTCATCAGGCCCAAGAAAGAATAAAATATTCAGAAGAAAGCAAGATGCCACAGCTTTCTAAAATCCACGGTGATTTGCCAAGGGGATCGTGCCATTCCCAGGGCTGTGAAATCAGCTGTGACTGGGGGTGCGTGGCAGGTCCTGTGCGGATGCACGCTCCGCTGCCCACGCATGCGAGCTCTGGATACTAAATACTGCGTGTGTAAGCACCCTCCTTCAGCTGCTCAGAAAAGTCACAGAAATCTTTAGCCTTTATAAACAATTTCCATTACAAAAACAAAGCCTTTCTGCACTGCATGCCGAGTTACAGCGGTTTCTAGTCTGAGATTCCTGTGAGTTCACCTCACAGTGCAACAGGCAGGAAGCACCAGCTACAGAGCTCGGAGGGGGCTTGCGTCCGAAGGAATAAACAGGCAGGGGTTTGTGTCTCAACGGGGCTTTACATTTACTCTAAAATGCACAGAAAAGGGTGGGAGGTGTCCTAGGAGCAGAGCTCATGCAAAGCTGCCCGCTCCTGAAGCATCCGTCCTCCCAAGGCTGAGCTGCCCGCGGGGCTCTGCCTGCGCTCGCGGGACCGGGGCAGAAGGAACGAGCGAGGGCTCATCCTCCACAGGAGATGAACCCCCACCTTCAGGGACTCGAGAGCTGGCTCTTCCCTCCGCTACCAGGGTTCTACGATGGCTCCTCTGGACTCGGTTCACCTAATAACAAGGAAATGAAGAATTAGCTCTTCCTCTTCCAGACCCAGATCCTCCGCCGAGCAGCTGCTCCTGAACACCTCTCCCCACGCGAAAGCCCTCGGCGTTTGGCCGCCGACCCACGTGCAGAAGTGCCCGTCTGGCTCGCCGGGGCAGACCACTCCTCTTCCACGTGTGCTGGAAGAGGGGATCCCCGAGGAAGCAGGAGTTTCTGAGGCTGGTGGAAGAGCAGCACCCTGCTCTCCCGGGCGATGGACGCCCACCCGGCGCTGGCGGGGGGACGATGGCAGCCGGCGTTCCCGGACGAGCCACAGGCTACTGCTGTTCCTCTGGGAGCCACTCCGGAGCCACCGCTTGCCTGGTGGCAACCAGAACCTGCACATCATAGCCAGCACTGGAGTTAAAGCTTCCTTGAAATGTCCAGTCACCAAACAAGTGAGAGCACACTTATGATCCCACTGTCTGTTGCAGAAGGACCAAAAACACAAGTAATTGCCTAAAATATAACGGTCTTTTTAAGAAAAAAAAAAAAAAAAAAAAAAAAAAGTATCTACAGTATCCTTCAAAAGCCATGGAAGCCTCAATACTCTTGGGTCGCAGCACTGCGGATTTCATTTTGACATGCCTTAAATTTGAACAAAGCCTGACTTAAATCCCTAGGTTATGGTCACGTTAGGGGGATTTTCCAGCAAGCAGAGTTCAGAATTGAAGTGCTCTAGGTGAGCGGGTCTCACTCAGATCTACAGCACTGAAAACCTGAAGAGCTGGAAGAGTGGGGTCCGGGGCCTCTCGTGCGAAAGGCAGCTCAGTCGGGGTTCCCATCAGCATGGGCTCAAGAACAGCGTGCCAAGGCCGAGGGCAGGCTCTCCTCCCCGCAGGTACAAGACGCCGAGCCCTTGCCTCGGGGAGCTGCTCTCCACCCTGCCCGCGGCACTCCGGGGAGCACGCGGGGCTCCCCCGCGGGGACCACCCGCCCCCCTTCCGCAGCGCCGGCCGGGAGCGGCGAGGGGAAGCCGAGGGACGGGGCCCGGCGGGAACTTTCCCTTTCCCGGTCTCTGCAGGGCCCCAGAGCCCCGTGCCGGGGGGCGGCAGCCCCGGCCAGAGCCGGGCGAGGGGCTGGGGGCACGCACTGGCCGAGAGTCCCGCTCCTGTTCGAAACCTCCGGAGTCCACAGGTTACCGCAAGCAGCCCTCCACCCTTTTCCCCCTCACAAAATTAACATTAAAAAAAAAAAAAAAAAAAAAGGTTTACACTTCATGGGAACACAGTGGCAGAGTGTGCTTAATTTATTAAAATCGCCATGTCTTTCCGACAGTATACCAGTATGTAAAATAAGCCTACAAAATACAACATTTAAACAAATTATTTACATCCAGGGCAGCTGCAATATCAAGCAATAACTTTAGCAATAGTTCTAAAAATAACTCGCTGCTAGTGTACACTAGATTAGGTATTTCACAATAGGAAGGTTGAATTTCAGCATCGTACTAAATCCTAAAATATTACAGTACTTCCAGATAAAATATTAATGCTTCTTTGAAAAACAGACAACTCGGAAACTGGTTTGTAGATTGACAAAACACTACACATTTCTCTTTGGGGACTGAGAACCACAGCAGATTTAGACACAAATGTAATAGCTTCATTCAAAATACATTCAGTCTATTTATGCCAAAAATACATTCAGTATAAGTTACAATTTATTGCACATTCCTTATATTCTGTAGAAATATACTGTACCTCTCGATGCTATTTTCCCATACATTCATAAATTGTGCTGCCTGTTAGAACACAACACGGCTGTCTTTCCCGAGAAGCTTCAGACAGATCGGGGTACCCCAGCGCGTAGGGACGATCCCAGCCACGCCGCCGGCAATCCCAGCCACGCTGCCGGCAATCCCAGCCACGCCATCGGCAATCCCAGCCACGCCATCAGCAATCCCAGCCACGCCATCGGCAATCCCAGCCACGCCATGGGCAATCCCAGCCACGCCATCAGCAATCCCAGCCACGCCATCAGCAATCCCAGCCACGCCATCGGCAATCCCAGCCACGCCATCAGCAATCCCAGCCACGCCATCGGCAATCCCAGCCACGCCATCAGCAATCCCAGCCACGCCATGGGCAATCCCAGCCACGCCATCGGCAATCCCAGCCACGCCATCGGCAATCCCAGCCACGCCATCAGCAATCCCAGCCACGCCGCCGGCAATCCCAGCCACGCCATGGGCAATCCCAGCCACGCCGCCGGCAATCCCAGCCACGCCGCCGGCAATCCCAGCCACGCCGCCGGCAATCCCAGCCACGCCATGGGCAATCCCAGCCACGCCATCGGCAATCCCAGCCACGCCGCCGGCAATCCCAGCCACGCCGCCGGCAATCCCAGCCACGCCGCCGGCAATCCCAGCCACGCCATCGGCAATCCCAGCCACGCCGCCGGCAATCCCAGCCACACCATCGGCAATCCCAGCCACGCCGCCGGCAATCCCAGCCACGCCATCGGCAATCCCAGCCACGCCATGGGCAATCCCAGCCACGCCGCCGGCAATCCCAGCCACACCATCGGCAATCCCAGCCACGCCGCCGGCAATCCCAGCCACGCCGCCGGCAATCCCAGCCACGCCGCCGGCAATCCCAGCCACACAGCTTGCATGGCCAAGGCCATGCCCGATGCACACGTGAAGACCAGCTCCCGGTAGCAGCCACGCGTGGCAGCACGGGGCTCTGCGCGCAGCCCACGGGCAGATTCACCGAACCCACACTGACCCGCGGGAGGGATTTCTGAGCCATAACCTTTATCAACACGCACCGCTACACAAAACGGCGCTCGTGCGTCCGTCTCGGTTGACCACAGTCAACGCGATGGAGCATCTTCCCCCTGTCCTGACAGCGAAGGCCACGGCGCGGGGGGGAGCCCTGCCGAAGCGTGACCTGCCACAGGCAGGAGCCCCGGTGCCACGCGTGTCCCCGCAGCCGCGAGGCAGGGCGGCACACACCGCGCTCAGCAGCAGCGAACGGAACACAAGAACTTCCCTCCCGTTAGCCGGGCTGCGCTGGGGACAGCCTTGAGCCCATCAGCGGCCACGGGAGACCCGAGCAGACAGGGACCACGAGAAGGTCTTGCTCCGTTCATTGTTAAGACCCATTGTAGGGACTAGACATGTTTCTAAACAAATCTATTTATAATTATCGGTTCTGTGACCACAAAAACAAGTGACATAACAGCAACTAAAATATTATAGGGTTCTTTATAGGGTTACACAAGAGAATGATCTTGGTTAAGTGCAAATGACTATAAAAATAGCAAAGTGCAGAAGAGATTACAGTTTGAACTCCTCAAGGGGCATTTGGGGGAAGCCGTTAAGGAAATCAAAAAAAAATTTAGGTGCTAGAGAAAAAGTTAACTTTCCCTTTCAGTTCAGATTCCACATACTAAGTTTCAGGTTGTTATGAGAGGTGAATTAAAAAACTAGTAACTCCCCCAAACTAGAAGCATCGATTAGGAGAGGCTAAATGTGGGGACTGGTCTTGAGCATCCTTGAGCTTGAAAATTTTTACAAGCTTAAGAACTTGTGCTTTAGATGAAGATTAGCAGAAACTTTAGTTACCTCTCAAGAAACTAAACCTCCCTAAAACCGCAAAGCAGTATCTCAGCATAACCTCTGTTCTTAAATTTGAACAGGACAAATCTACATTGAGGGAAAAGGCCACTAAAACAAGAGGTTTGGGGTTTGGTTTTTGTTCTTTTTTTTTTTTAAAGGAGCATATAATTTACAAACATCTTAAAGCCCCGTACAACAGCATCAGCCCCCTGGCTCAGTTATGTTTAACTCTAGTTTGCTAAAACACACATTTACCTCTCAACAACGAAAGAAAAAAGAAAACCAGTGCAAAAATATTGAGCCAAGTGAAAAACTAGGGCAAACAGACCATTATGTCTCATGCCGTGGAATATGTTCAGGAAAAAATTTAAAGTATTCCTGGGGCTGGAGCTGCGACCTGAGGGGTGCCGCCGAGCCCAACCGGCGCCCGGCTGCGCAGAGCATCCTCCTCCTCGCACACCTCGGCAGCCCGGAGCCAAAAGGCTCCGCTTCAGAAGCCAGGGTGCTCATCAGCTCTCAGAGACCCCAGGAGGGAAACTGAAAAAACAGCCTAAAAATCCCCCACCACGTCAGACTGACCAAACGGAGAGGCGAAAGCCAGGGTGCCCCCAGGGCAGCCCACGGAGGGGGCGCAGAGGGAGGCAGGCTTGTGCTGGGGAGCCCCCCCTGCGCATCCCGCCCCCCGGCACTACACCACGGTGTAAATAAGAAGCGGGTGTGCTGCGGCGGGAGGCTGCTACCAGCCGGGGGTGGGCAGCACCGTCCCCCAGCGCATCACACAGCGAGCCCTCCTGCAAACATCTCCCAGCTGTACCCCGAGAGCCCCTCACCAAAGGCCCTGGCGCCCCAAAGCACTTTTCTTTGGTTTCACTGCGGGACCGCAGCCTGGAGCAGTTCCTGACCCGGGGGAGCTTCTGCACAGACTCCGAATTCCTCCAGCGCACAAACCAATTCCCAGGGAGAGAAACCCCGGGAGCAGTTACCAGCTACGCTTCAAGGGCACAGATACTTTCAAAGGATCATATAAATAAAAAGTGCATAGGACTGAATTTAAAATGGAGGAAAAATCCCTAGAGACCACTCTGATCACTCATCCCCTGAAGTTCAAGGAATGCCTCCTTTTCAGGCAAAAAAAAAATAATGCATTCTTTAAAAGCGGTATAATAAAAGCCAATGGCGTCCCTTGGTCATCTTGCATTGTATCGGCAACCGATCAAGTTTTTCACTAATGAGCCTTAACGCATCGAGGCTGCTGAGCCATGGCAGGCTTTGCTACCGAGGCGGTTCCTTTCCACCGCTCGGCAAACACCGGCCCCCCCTCCGCTCCCCCCGACCAACCGTGAACCTGCTCGGCCCCCGACCGTCTCGCCAACAGCCGAGACCAGGGCGGCCCGGGACGAACTTCATTCTGCTGCATTCTCCTTTTGCAACTACAGCGCGTTCTGCCTTAAAGTTTTTCCCACCAGCTATTTCAGGGCTATTTTGAACAGCTACCGGTGTGGCGCGCGGCACGGCCGGCAGTGCTGTGATTGTGCCGCAGCCGTTCTCAGGGGTCCCCCCCCCACCCCGGCAGGTCACCCCCCGCGACACCGCCGGCACTTCAGCGGGCTGCCCTCTGTGGTACGCCCTCCTTGCTGTTAATTGTTCTAAAATGACTGGGTCTCATGCATATTTTAACACGCTACTCTGGCTGATCACAAACATTTGATTCTTTTTTTCTCAGAAGGAGAGCCAGCTGGCTGTGCAAGCGCCCGGAGCTCTGGAAAGACGGATGTTTCCTCTTGGGCACCTTCCCAAGTGCTAAAGCAGTTCTGAAAAGTTCATCTCACCTGCGCAGTTTAAATACTTTTGAAGAAACAGCCCTAATACTACTTAAAATTACTTTTACTCCACTAGCATTGACTTCAGACACCTTATTCTGCAAATTCAAGAGTTGATTTCAATGGATAAGACATTTTCTTTTCCCACTTAAAAAATAAATAATCTTTGATTGTTCCTTTTTAACATAAGGATTTTTTTTCAAGTTACGTTCTACAAGAACAAATGCTGGATATTATGTGTGCAAATCTTTTGATACTCAAGTCAGCATCATGCTTTGGATCATGCAGTTGCAACAATTACCCCTCACACAGCTTAGAAAGTATGCATCTGTTGAGCTCCCTGGTGTAGTTTACACAGTTGAAGCACATAAGAATTAAATCTGTAAGACGACTTTGATCATGTCTCAGAAAGCGCACTGGAGAAGAATCTACCAGCAATCTAGAAGGAACCTTCTCCCCCATTCAGCTAACAGCGCGTGCAAAGACTGGCATTATTTAACACGAGCAGGAGCGACTAGAAGTTCTGCAAACAGGCAAGTTGTATTAGAGCCTATTTGTGGGGCAGTTAACACCCACGGAGAGCCCATAATACCCGGGAGTGTGTGTGCCAGGATGAAACACGGAGCACTGATAGTACTGACTGTCCCACTCAGGAACAGTTTAACCCGTTCCTCCATGTAAGAGCCCCAATTCAAGAGGTTTCACGTCAAAGATTGATCTTAAATACCATAATTAACTAACAGCTTATTTCCACACAGCTGCATGTGCTACACCAAACTTTTGCAAAGCTTTGCTACTGTGGAAGAAGCATTTCAAGAACCATATTATTACAAAATGTATAATTTTGGCTATTAAAAATATTAGAATACTATATTCAAATGTGTGCACCGCGGAGTGAGGCAGCATTCACAAAATGCCAGAACATCAGTGAATTTTGAAAAAAAAAAAAAACAAAACGTCGCTTTTGAGAGCTCGCAGTACGATGGAAGTATGATTAGAGATGCTGATACTTTTCACCAGCCTGGTGCTACTGCAGAAACCCGTAAGAAACCTCTGAAGAGGCTGTGTCGGCTTCGTGCAAGGACGGTCTGCGCTCGAAATTCACCCCTCGGCAGCCCCCCAGGCCCTGACAGGCAACGGCAAGCGGCGATCCGGCCCGGGCTGCGGCGAAACATCCGCGGAACGGGCCCGAAGCCAGGCTGGTGGAGAGCACATCATGCTCCGGCGGGCTGCCGTCACCGTGACCAAAACCACACACCGCCCTCACCGCGAACAAACAAACGAAAACGCCACCGTCACCGCGAACAAACAAACGAAAACGCCGCCTCCACCGCCGCTCCCGGCCGCGGGGGCCCCCCCCAACCCTCCGAGGCAGCGGGCCGGGCCGCGCGGTACGTGGAACGCGGCGAGGAACGAACCTTCCTGCCAGTTTGCAGCTGCTCTCCGAGAATTAATTTGGTTCAAGCTTCCCTCTAAAATAGCAAAAGGCACTAAAAAAATGTTAGCAGTGACACACTGGCAAGATGTTGTTTAAAAATATACACTTTTACGGTTTAGGTAGAATTTCTCCCAATCCATCCCTATATATCTATCGGAAAAGTATTGCCTCTATTATTCTTCCTACTAACTGTTAAAAATAAGAATTTTCCCTTGATCAATATTGTTCCATGAGCAAATGAACAGACTAAAAGAACTCCAAATCCTAACTATAATAATGTATATGAAATCAAGACAATACAAATAAAAGTTAACAAAAAGCTGACTAGATGCTTTTTTGTTCATCATATACATGCTTGGTAGAATTTTCATCATTTTTATTTGCTTAGGTAACGGTATAGTATTTTAAAAATGCATCTTACTGACAGCCCCTTTTCAGATTCCTGCATAAAAATATGTAAAAAGCTGGATTAAATCTGGTCTTTTACTTGGTTTGAGGATAAAACATGTGGCTTCTCTTGCAAACCGGCTGTAACCAACACCAGCTATTTCCAACAGGCTTGGGATTTGACTAGGATAAAAAGCACAATAGCGAAAGATATTTTTACACTGCCGTGGTGTTTTAAGCTCTTTTCTGTGATTAGCCTAGTGCCTGATTTAGAGAACCAAAGCAAGTCACTGACTTGCTGTACAAAATATGAACTATGAGTCAAAAGCTGCCCCTTCCAGCGGCCAAATACGAAGCTAGATGCCAGTGCTCCGGTCTGGGCACTTGAATACTGAACCACGTTATCTGAGGTAGACCAAAAATAAAAGTAATATCACATGATAAAAGATGAACAGAAGAATTCGTTCCCCTCTCCTCCTCCGGGGGGCTCCGTCAGGCTTTGGAGTCTTCCTGCGCACAGAGCTGGGAAATGGTCTTCTTGACGCGCAGCGCGGTCAGGCGCGCAGCGCCGCTGGCGTACCAGCACTCGCGCATTATCCGGCCCATCACCCGCAGCGCCTGCAAATCCGAAGGTAAAAGAACAGGTCAGGAATGGAACCGTCACCTCCCGCGTTTGACTTTTTGAAGTGCAATACTGGGAGGTAAAACAGAGCTCTCCAAAACGGTAATACAACAGCAATATCATAAATTAAGACTGATGTTCCAGAGAGTTCAGCACTTGGTGCAAAGACAGCTTTCTCTGTATTGATCTGGGAGATGAGATAGAGGTAAGTATCGGAAACACATTTAAATCCAGGAGAGGCTGGACATCGAGCTCCCTTTGTCTCACTGAAAAATTCTGCCTTAACTTAAACATGCTTTGTAATAAACTGGGAAACTGCTTTTACCTCACAGCTTTGCCACTGGTTTGGAATATTTGGTCTGAGCTTCTGTTCACAAACTACCCTTCTCATATCTTCTATCGAAGGATCAGAAGGCACAACGTCGTAGTAAGGCAACTGGTATTCCTCAGTGATTCCTAGGAGAGATTTGTTGCGTAGGTAACAAAATCCGAACCAGCCACTCCAGAACCAACTCTAATCGTTTGCTTTTATGGGCAGCGAGAGAGCAGAGGAACATTTGGGGCCGCCTTGACCAAGTGCCCCACAACAGACTTCTACGGCCCCGTACTGCCAAGACGGCTGAGAGTGCAGGGGCAGGGACGTAGAGCCTTTAATTGATTTTGGTTTATTCAAGACAAAAGCAGTCTGGATTGCAAAGCGGAAAGGCCAGGACCCTCACCTCCAACGGAGCACCTTCGGGCTATCTCCCAGTACACGAGCCCAAGAGAGTACATGTCTGCACGCTTGAAGGACTCGAAGATGTTCGTGTTCATCACATCATCAAGTATCTCGGGAGCCATATACCTTTGGAGCACACAAAGGTCAACTCGCTAGAGGGAGCTCAGAGGAAGGACGGCGGCTGCGCCGCTGCACGCCGGGGCCAGGCAGCAGCCGGTGCTGCCGGGAAACAGGGGAAAAGGGAAAACTCTTTGCTGGTGACCGCGAGTGGGTCGGGCTGGGTGATGGCCCTGACACCGAGGCGCGTCGCCGTGGCTCACGGCGTGGGGAGCGGTGCCCCGGCTCGCAGTGACCGACACGCGACGCCCACGGCGCCGAGCCGCGTCCCGCGGGGCGTGGGGGGCTCCGTCCCGGGCCGGGGCTGGCAACTGCCCCCCCCGAGCCGCGGCAGCTGCCAAAGGCAGCGGGGAAAAAGTCCCCGGAGGAGGGAAGGGCCGAGGGAAGCCGTCCCCGCGGGGACAGCCCGCCCTCACCCACCTCCTGGTCCCCACCCGGGGGTTCTGGGGAATGTCGATGGTGTTCAGCACCGAGTCGTGCTTCACCGCCAGGCCCAGGTCCGCGATGGCGCAGCTTTCGTTCCTCTTCACCAGGATGTTTTTAGATTTCAGATCCCGGTGCGCGATCGCTGGCTTGCCTGTCCACAGAAAAAGCGCCGTCAATTCTGGTAACAACAGCATGACTTTGAAGACAATGAGCAAGGGAGCAAAACCAGTTTTGTTCAACTTTGCTACTGTGCCCTGTAAAAAAAAACATTGAAGCCTATTTTGTTCCAGTGAAAGCTCTGCTAAACGCCATCAAATTTAGGAAAACCCTTAAGGGAATTTTTGTTCCAGTATCTGTATTTCAGGAATAAAACACAAAAAGAAAAATTGTAAGTTCACCCTCCCGATTCATTTAGAAAATCCTCCGCTAGCGCTCCCGCAGGCACTCACTTAAAGACGTGGAAGGAGGCGCAGGCAGTGAAAGTGGGAAGAGGATATTCCCATTCTCTGTTTCTAGTGCACCACACACGCCTACGCTAATACCCTTTCTTGCGGTGTAACAGTTTGTAAAATCCTTTGCCATACCACGTCACCCACAAACATTTTTTGCAAATACCACCGAAGCTCCCTAAAATACCTGAAGGACAAGGTGGGGGGCCAGCACTTGCCTTGCGTGCCGACGATCTCCATGTGGAGGTGTGCCAGGCCGCTGGCCACCGACAGCGCCAGCTTGACCATGCCCTCCACCGTCACCGTGCCCCGGTTCAGGTAGTCGAACAGGGACCCTTGCTCGTGGTACTCGGAGACAAGCCAGAGCTGAGTCCACGTCCCGTTATCTACCCGGAGGAAGCAAGATTATTCAGCTGTATTGAAAAAACGAGCCAGGAAAAGCCTTCCCCGTTTTGCAGCCGGCTCAGGCACGCAAACGAACCCCCCCCGGGGGGAGCGGAGGGGGGCTGCGGGGTGCAGAGCCGTCTCAGACGGGACGCGACGCCGAGGCAGGACTCATGGCATACCCTTGTTATCGGCAGCAATGAAGCCCAGGATGTTTTCGTGTCTCAGCATAACCGTCTGATAAATTTCTGCCTCCCGAAACCAGGACCGTTCGTCCCTGGAGGAGAAGATTTTCACAGCTACATCTTCCCCGCACCATTTTCCACGCCAGACTTCGCCAAAGCGGCCTTTTCCTACAATTTCCTGCAGGACAATAGTCCTCGCGATCGTTCTTTGTACGAGCAGAGGCAAACCTAGTTTAAAAAGAAGAGACTGGTATTTGTCAAATAGTTGGGCAGCGATCTTTAAGTCTCAAAGTTGGACACTTCCCAGTGAGCTTTACTCATAACTCTGCTTTCAAAGAGTACCAAAGGAAAACCCCCTCCCAACCAACACCTCCCAAAATCATACTTTTGAATGTAACTGGCCGCACGAGCGTACGCCGTGTCTGTCACTAGGTACAACAGGCAATCTCGGTCCTGAAGCGGGTTGGGTGCGAGCCCTCCCCGTCAACAGCTCCGCGTGGAGCCAGGACCGGAGCGTGGGGCTTTGGTGCGTGACGGTGACAGCCCAGCTCCTGCCGCTGCCACGGGGTTCCAGGGAGCCCCCCCTCGCACTGGGGACAAGACCCACGGGCTCCTTCAAGAGCCACAGCCCAGCCTGGGTGACACCGGGAACTACCCACCCTTCGGCTGAGGGGGCAGGGGACAGAACCAGAAAAGGTCGGAAAAAGCGGCGTGTACGCCACGGCCTGCCTGGAAAATAATCCCGGCTTTGCTGTTCTGTTGACAAAGGAGAAAAGATGGGCTGTGACCAATGCGTAAAAAGGCAGGACAGGCTGCCATAACCGTGCACCGGGCCCCAGCCCCACCAGTCCCCACGCCGGCATCACCTCCCCCGGTGCCTTCAGGGCTCCTGACCCGTCCCCGCCGGGCCAGGGCCACCAGCCCGGCCCGGGGGCCACTGCCCCGCTCCGCGCCAGGTACACCCTGCGCCGGTGCACTTCCCAGCAGAGCCAGGAGACCCACGGGACACACGTACCTTTCTCCCCCCAAACTCCACCTCCCTAATCCCAAGTAAATTTAAAAATCCATAAAAGCCAATACAAATAAAAAAAAAAAAAAAAAAAGCAGGCCCGAACTACTTAATTTGGTTTGATATGAACTACAGTTTGCAGTCAATTAGTTGATCTGCTCTGATGGAAATTTTCAAAAATAAAAATAAATTATTTTATCAGTTTCATTTTCTTTTGCTAGCCATAAACCCCTGCCTCATTTGATTTGACATTGCATTTGTTTGGGACTTAAAACAAATACTTTTTTTTTTTTTTTTAAATCAAGACAACCTTGCTTTTAACAGAGTGAAATAATCAACAGGAAAAAGTGTAGTTTAAAGGTTAGCATACTTAAATTTATTCCACTTTTCCCTCCAGTTTCCTCGACAGAGCCCTCACATGAGCTTGCCCTGGCTGCCCGTGGCCCAGCCCTGCGCAGAGAGGAGCAAACTCGCTGCCTGGCCGAAATCAGAACAAACCATGTGCGGGGCTCTGTCTGCCTCCACCGTGTGCCCGCACAGATAGAGCCCTGTCATCAGCTCGGGGATGGCTGTGAACAGTTAAAGCTCCAGGGCAAATAGAGCCAAAGCCTACTCATATCTGGGAAAAAACATTAGGAAAGTACAATAAATTAATCCTGAAAGGTATGCAGTTTATGGAAAATAAAGTAAATTAAATTAAGCATGATTTATACATTTTTCACTTGTAAATAAAAGCAAGCATGATTTACACATTTTTCAAGTAAATAAATATTCTAGTTACAGAAAACTGGGCTGTACACACCAGCCATGCCACCAGCCTGATGAGATGGAATTTTTGAATTCCCACCTCATTTTTCCATTTCTTTGATTTAACAAGATCTCAGTAGCAGTGGAAGCACCACAGTAGATATCAGAAATAGGAAAAGTATTTAGAATGTTGGCATTCTGCAAAAAACTAAGAATTTGGAGTAGCGTTATTCTGGCACCGCTATAAAAATTTGAGGAGTGGCATCCTGACTTATTCGGTTAAGTTTAGTACCTTTTATCCTCCGCTGTGCCACATCAGCCAGCAACGTTTTGTTTCGCCCTCGAAACTGATTTCTGAATTAACTTTTTTAACTCTTCTATTCAAACAAAGAATCAAACTTTTGCAGCTTGAAAAGAAAAAGAGCAAACAAAGCCCTGTTGCCACTGTGAGGCGCGGCCAAGCACATCGGCACAAAACCTCCCTCGGCACAGAACTCGCCACCGGCATCAGAACCTCTGAGGTAAGACCCACACCCCCCCCCCCCCCCCGCTCCCTCTGCCCGGCAGGAAACGTTCTTCATCGCCCTACAAGCCCGGCGGCACGCTTTGCCTTTGGTTTAAAGCATCACGAAGATTCTCTCCGGAAACCGGCGGCGACGCGCCGGCAGCGGCGGGCGGGGCGTCCCCACCACGTACCGGAGCCGGAGCCGGAGGTCGTCATGTCGTAGATGAGATCCTTCAGCGTCTTCCCGGCGTCGACCAGGTTGGACTCGGCGAGGGGCTCCTCCACGTTGGGCGGCTTGGCCCCGCGGCGGGCACCGCGCCGGGCCGGGCAGGCGCAGGCTGCCAGCACCGCCGCCAGCGAGAGGGCGCAGACCGGCACCGCCACCGTCACCGCCAGCACCACGGGTCCCGCGCCGGCTCTGCCCGGAGACTCCGACGCTTTCGGAAGACACAAAGGAGAGCAGGGCGGAGGGGAAAAGACGGTAAGTGAAGGGCTGCGGAGCGACCACATCCCAAGATTTAACGATTCCCCACGGTCGTCCTGACCGGGACGGGCCACATCCCTCTAAGTCACGGCGTCTTTCCCCCCCCAACACCTTTCTGCAGGTGGGCTGGGCTCAGGCCGGCACGGTGATCTCCTCCGCACACCACCTCAGGCCGATCGCCCCCGGGAACACCGGTGGAGACGCTGGGAGCGCGCGGCTGGCTGGAGGTAAGGTGCCGGAGGGACCAGCGCCGCGCCTGCCCCCCCGAACAGCCCCGGGGGAGCTCCCCAAACACACCGACCCCTCCCCATGGGCTGCCGTCCGGTCGTAACTCCTCTTATCTCTTACTAAGCCCACACAGACTTCCCACAGCACAACGCATCCTGGCCATGGGCGCCTCCAGCTTGACCTGCCCAGCATCACTCGAGACAGCAAACACCCGAAGAACATCTCCTTGCACTTGTGGTTCCCAAAATGCAGCAGGGACCCTACGGAGCGCACACCGTTATGATCCCTTCGCGCTGGTGAAATGCCAGGAGCCCGCAGGGAGCCCATCGCCCACCCCCCCCGGGCAGGTCGAGATGGGACCGGCAAGATCACCGCAGGATCCCGACCGAGACACAGCCCGGCGCGGCGCCAGACTGCTTTGTGTAAATATTTCTCAGCACACCGTCCCTGCTGAAAACAAATCCTTGGAAAAAAACTATTTCCTAACACGTAATGCATACAGGAATACCAAGTTCTTGTAAATGAGGCGTTAAAAGGATTTCTAAGACAGAACACTTTTGGAACCTGTGTTCGTGAAGCTGTATTTCACGGGGGTCAGGAAACAGGACTGCCCTAGAACATTTTCCATTTTAAAACTACAGGGGTAGAAAACACATCAAGAAGCTATAGGAATGCATTACTAAGGTATTTACTTGCACATGCACACGCACAAAACCCTTAATGCCCCCAAAATTGTAAATAAGCTTAAAAAAAACACCAAAACCAACCAACTGACACACCCCTCCAAAAAATAATTGAAACAAAACATAAACATTACCCCGCAAAAGCCCCCTCAACACCCAGCATCACAAGTACCGAAGAGTGGCTGTAAAGGCTGCAGAAGATTTAAGGATCACGAACGCCACACCGTGCAGTCACCTCGTAGCCGGTCTAGAAGACAAAAAGCCTCTCTCTCCCTTTAGGCAAACACTAAGCAGTAAGTACACTGTAATCCGAATTCTGAGAGTAACTGAAGTGGTTTGGGAGTCTGAGGAGCAGCAGCCTGCTGGCCCTCAGCACTGACTGTTACTCTCCTCCAGTTAATATTATACTAGAGGCACTTCTTCAGAGGACCTTGCCAAGCCGTGCACTCCATCATTCAGCAGTGCCGGGTGCAAAGTTAGCCGTGCAAAGTCAACTTGTTCCTTTTTCTTCTCTTCCTTAGATTTTAGCCCTATGCACTTTAACGGAGCAAAGAAAATAAACAAAAAATTAACAACTGAAGGCCCCGTGTCTATCCACGGCGCACAATTCAAACCCTTCTGAAAACACAGGTTTTACGCCTTGCCCACAGGCTTTCCCTTCAGTGGGGTTCAGCAGGACACCCAAGGGTTATCTCCCTGATTTGTAAGAGATTTGCAAGCAGGATTCCTCCTTGCAACTGCTGCTTGTTCACCGACTCCCGGGCTGTTTCGGGTCATTTCCAGGAGGCAGAGACAGCAGCGCAGAGGCTGGCTCGGGGTGTGCTGGCGGCCGCGGAGGGGGACAGCCGTCCAAACGCGGCACGGCAGCGCATCCCCCGAGCCCGCGCGTCTCGGCAGGCTCCTTGTCGAGCGGCGGGGGCTGTTGAGGACAACCACGCTCGAGATACCTACTCTAAAACAGCAGTTCTTCCCGCCGACTGCTGAAGAACAACGTCACATGAAACCAGCAAAACACAAAGCTTTATTGTTCCTAGGCCAGCGCCAACAGTATCAAGAGGAACATAATCAGGAAGCTTCGAACAGCGGTGGTGACAAGCAGTCCTGCGGGACACCCCTCGCTGCGAGCCCCCGGGACACCCCTCGCTGCGAGCCCCCGGCCCCCCGGGACACCCCTCACCCCGAGCCCCCAGCCAGCTCCCCGCTGTCGGCACACAAGTCACAGCAGCCCCGGGTGGCCGCTGATCTCTCCTCCATCCCCCTCCCAGGCCTTCAACTCTTTCCTCCTCTTCCCCCTCTCTCCGCAGCTCCCTCCATCCCAGAGCACCACTCCTTCAGAAGAAAGCTTCTGAAAGATCTCCACTTCTGTTCTCCTTTACTTTCAAGCCTGTTTCCTTGCAGTCTGCATGTTACAGGTGGCAAACCTGTACAGGAAAAAAGAGTAACAGTTACTGTTGGCTTTCTTTTTATCTTAAAATTATATACATTCACCTATACATATATAATAGAATAATAATATATTCATTTATGTCTATATAAAATTTCCAGGATCTCCTGAAACTGGGAAGCAGCTCCAGCAGTACTTCAAATAGGAGAAAAGCCAAGTTTGCTAAGAGCACAATACATTACTTTGCTTAGCTTTTTTTAGCTGTTCCTGAACCAGCTGCTGCAGTAACACCTCCCCCTGCATTTCAAGAGACTGCACAGGCCGTGATTTCAGACTGGCAGTGAACAGAATAACTGGGTGATGACAAGCCCAAAGGATTGAGGAGTGGAGCAAGGCCAGTGGAGAAATGTGCACTTCCACAAGCGCTCTTTCAAGTGCAGGACGTGCTCCTGACTCACAGGGAGCCTAAAACTAAGTCCCTGTTTTCGAAGGGCTTTTAATATTAAAGCCACATTACGATACTGGCGATATCTGCGCTACCTTGTCACACATTCTGCAAATCTAGGTTTGGCTCCTAGATTTGCCAATAGAATTGAGACAACAACACTGTCTAGGCTTCTGATACATGTCAATTTGTACTGTTGGTACACTGTAAACCACTGAAACTGGTTTTATAGCAGAATTTTAAGGGGCTCTTAAAAAATGCTCAGTGTATCTTTAAAAAAGGCAACAAAGCCATTCTTCTAAGAAAAAAAAAAAAAATGTCTGTAATTTTAACAGAAAAGTGATGGGATGCTTTTTTACTGAAAACTTACATGGGCACAATTTCTATCATCGAAGAGCTGCCGAGCGGGCTGTGCGAGGGAACTGCAACCGAGCGGAGGGTTTCGAGCTCTCTCCCTCGCCCCGGCACCTCGGGAGCCGGCAGGCTGGAGGCGGCGGCGGGCCCGGCCGGGGCTCGCCGAGCCCAGCAGCCAGCACGCTCCGCGGCAAGGAGCGCGAGGAGGGAGCGGGAGGCACGCGGGGCCACGCCGGGGGGGCAGAGAGGCGTCAGAGCAGAGCGGGAGCAAAAGTCAAACTGCCACCCCCCTCGGGAGGGTGGCACCCGGCGCCAGGAACACGGACAGGCGCCAGCTCTGTGATCTGTGCAGCACGAACTCCAGTTCGGGGGTGCTTACGGGTCTCCTCGGAGATGCTGCTAAGCTGAGAGAGCTCAAGGGCAGGAGGGAAGTTAGCAGTGAGACTGGAAGCTGGGGTGTCCGGGCCAGCTTGCGCGGGGTCTCCACCAAGCTCCTGGCAAATGAAGAGATCCAGACTGTCTGGAGAAGTTTCTTGGAAGGAGCCAGCTGGAAACCTCCTTTGTCATCCTTTAGTCTACTGGCTGTACCAAAGACAAACTGCAGGTCGAGGCTGGTGGCAACTACTCAAACCCTTTCCAGCTCTTCACAGAGCAGAGGCGGGAGGCTCGAGAAGGACCAGGGCTGATTCCTGCCGGACAGTTGGTTGTAGGCCATCTCCAGTCCTGACCCCTTGCAGCACGGTGCCCCGCAGCCGTGCCCGCTTCTGGGCTCACACACCACCACCCCTCGGGGAGCCCTGGGACTCCCCACAGCACAAACCACACAGGAGAAGGGACAAACAGCACAAGCGCAAAATACGCGACGCACAAGGTACAAACAGTGATTAAGGGCGACATCACCAGATAAGTGTGGTAATGTTTACAGCAGTTGTGCAACGTTAAAACTCTTTGGGAGTTAGAACGTTAAAACTTCTTTGGAAGTAAGAAAATCCCTCATGACCACCTAAAACCATCAAATCAACACCATTAATCATAACGTTTTGCAATCTGATTTCCAATGTACTATTCAATGACTTACAAATCAAGAATAGAAGCTGAAGACATGTTGCCACGTATGAAACAAAAATAGCACATCTGGCAACAGTTAGCAATTTCACAATCTGGTATAGTTATATTCCAAATTGTGTAAACAAAATAGTACTTTTAGGGAGCAAAAAAAGGAAGGTTTTCTTTTTTCCCCCTCCAATGGAAAAGACATTCTGACACACAACATTTGCTTTGCTTTTGACATGTAATGGGCACCGTAAGACTTCTAAAAGCCCTGAACTATGCACGTTTAAGATCCTAAGTTACTCAAGGGGAAAAAATGATGTATTCTTTCCAGTGCAGTAAGAAAACATATTGCATCTAATGGGGAGCTCCAGTCAGACATACAGAATACTTTTAAACAATTTCAGCAATGCACGATTTGGACGAGAGTTTAAAATCAGGTTTCTCCAGCTTCCACTGTGACTAGAGACCCCATCACCCCTTTCGGGACATTCAGAAATCAGCTGGGAAAGGTCTGCTTCAGGGTCCAGAAGTCCGAGCAAACCCATCAGGGATCCAGCCACGAGATAAACAGCCACATTATCGGCACGGCTGCCTCCCCGCTCCCCTGGCCCCAGCCCTGCGGCCTCTTTGCACGGCTGTGTTCTCACCAGCCCCTCCCGAGAACACGAACCTGGGACAGCCAAGACGGACAAAAGTATTTGCAGAATGAGACATCCACAGAGCAGCTGTGACAGGCTGGAGCTCTGCCCACAGGGGTTTTGTCGAGGAGAACCTCAGGAGATCCGTCCAAGGGGGGGAGGATCCCA